GTAAGTTTATTATGAATTCATTATAAGTTCTAATACTTATTTAGGAGTCATGTAGGTGATTTATAACACTGTTTCACAGATTTAGGATGAAGATTAATCGTTAAGGTTTTTACTTAATTCAATAGTTAAAACTCTAAGTTAATAAGTTATAGAGTGGGTTTTCACTGAACTCATAATATACTAATCAGACACTTTTATGATAAGTTAGCTAAAAAGAGAAAGCAACCTTGGGGGCCTGGGAAACAACATTAAAAGCTTCTTTTGAGTTTTCTTTAGAAATAAACACTGCAGGATAAGAGAAAAATAACGAAGACACCTGGACAAGAAAGGCGATTATGAAGCTTTGAAGGTCATAGAAGCCCCAGATGGGAAAACTCCTGACACATGGAGAAATGTACACTTGGAAACTTTCTTGAGACATTTCAAGGACTGTAATTTGGGACTTTGGTCTAAAACTATCATTTTTGACTTTATGAATAAGATTCATTGTCTGAATGTTTATAGGATTCTTGGCTTGTTTGTTGCTAAGACCACTAGATGGTGGTAACTTTTAGAGGATATGTACGTGAAGGAATTTTCTTTGTCTTGCCCCTTTACAAATGGTACAAAAGTTTTCCATTAGCCAACATTAAATGGCATCTGTTCAGAAAGCAGGTGTCCAAGTATAATATTTTCATCTTTCACCTATCCATCTCTCCTTCAGGAAACCTCCCGACCCAGCAGGCACTGGACCCCCATAAATGACCAACATCATTCTTCTCAGACCTGGAAATGACAATACAGAAATTCATATGGAAACAAAAATGACCATGAATAACCAAAACAATCTTCAGGAAAAGAAACAAAGTGGGAGGTATCACACTTATGGACTTTAAACTTTATTATAAGGCTACAATAATTAAAACAGCCTATTATTGGTACAAGAACAGGCATATAGACTGATGGAAGAGGGTAGAGATTCCAGAAACAAAACCTTCATTTCTTAACCAACTCATTTTCGACAAAACCACCAACAACAACCAATGGAGAAAGGAGAACCTATTCAGTAAATGGTGCTGGGGACTGGCTGACCTCGTGCAGAAGAATGGAACAGGACCTCTACCTATTACCATATACAAAAATTCACTCTAAATGGATCAAAAACCAAAACGTAAAACCTCAAACTATAAAATTCTTAGAAAACGCAGGAGACACCCTTATAGATATTGGAATAGGTAACCAATTCCTGATCATAACCCCCAAATCCCATGACATAAGAGATAAGATAGACAGGTGAGAACTCACCAAACTGAAAAGTTTTGCAAAGTGAAATAAACCATCAAAAGGTTGGGGAGACAGCCCACAGAATGGAGGAAAAAATTGCCAATTGTATATCTGACAAACACCTAACATTCAGGATCCACCAGGAACTCAAACATGACAAAAGGAAAAAATTAACAAACAGCCCTGCAAAAAATGGGAAAAGACATAATTAGACACTTCTCAAAAGAAGACATATGAGCAGTCAACAGTTACATGAAAAATGCTCAGCTTCATTAGCCATCAAAGAAATGCAAACTAAAACCAAACTAAAACCACACTGAGATACCACCTAACTCCAATCAGGATGACCATAATTAATAACTCAAAAAACAACAGATGCTGGTCAGGATGCAGAGAAAAGTGAACACTTGCACACTGTTGGGTGGGAGCGTTAATTAGTACAAACTCTATGGAAAACAGTGTGGCGATTTCTAAAAGATATAAAAATCAACCTTCCATACTACCCATCAATCTCCCTTCCGGGAATATACCCAGGGGAACTCAAATCATTCTATGAATAAACATGCACATACATGTTTATTGCAGCACTAGTCACAATAGCAAAAACAAGGAACCAATCATGCTGCCCATTGAAAATTGATTGTATTTTTTTTTTAAAGTGGTGCATATACACAAGAAATATTTCGGAGTCATAAAGAATTTTACTAATTTTGATTGCACTTTTCAATCAGAATATGCCTCAATCTGTTTATTCATATATATATATTTTTAATTGTAGTCTCACTCCAGGCTGGAGGACAGTGGTATGATCACAGCCACCCCAGCGTCGACCAGCTGGGCTCTGGCGATCCTCCTGCCTCAACCTTCCAGGTAGCTGGAATTACAGGCACACGCTACAGCACCTGGCTAAATTTTGATGTATTGTAGAGACGAGGTCTCGCCAAGTTGCCCAGGCTGGCTTTGAACCCTCAGACTCAGACAGTCCATCCGCCTCAGCCTCCCAAAGTGTTGGGATTACAAGCTGAGCTGCTGAGCCCGGCCTATGTATGTTTTGATGTACAGTTGAATAGAGTAACACTGACTGGAGTTAGATGGTATCTCAGTGTGGCTTTAATTTGAATTTCTTTGATGACTAATGAGGCTGAGCACTTTTCATGTATCTGTTGGCTGCTCATATGTCTTCTTTTGAGAAGTGTCTATTCATATCTGTTGCCCACTTTGTAATGGGGTTGTTTATTTTCTTTTCAACACACTTGAGTTCCTTGTAGATCCTAGATGTTAGACCCTTGTCAGATATACAGTTGGCAAATAATTTTTCCCATTCTGTGGGCTGTCTTACCACTCTCTTGATAGTTTTAATTTAATTTTTTGTCAATCTTTTTTTTTTTTTTTTTTTAGAAAACTGCCTTTATTCTATTAGTAGTTGGAAAAATTAACTGGTACAGAAACAAAGTTTAGTCAGCTGGAGAGAAGAGAAAAACCGAGTATCACCCATGAGAACTGGTGGCTCCTCTGTGATACAGTGAGGAAAAAAGAGCACTGTGATTTAGAGCCAGATGCTGCAGTCCAGGTGAGACAGGTTATGCCACCTTCCATGTCTAATTGCCTCAGGCGTGAAACCAATTCCTATTTACTTAGCCCAGCTCTGGAGAGGGGTACTCAAATATGTGGGACTGAAAAGGGGTCATATGGCCATCTTTTATCAGAAAAAGTAACAAAACAGGAATTTTAAAATTGAATTTTCCATCTGCCTTTATTTCCAAATACACTTTCTTTTAAAAAAAACCAATACACTTTCTTAAGAGAACAAATATCAGTATTAGGAAATCCAATTATACCAAAAATACTACATCTAGTCTGGGGTAGATATATTTATTTTTGGTAACATACATTAAGTGGCACTAATTACACAGTAACTATAAGGCAACTAACATGAAACCACAGAACTGTAACTCTGCCACAGCTGCATGGACTTGGGCTTTTCTGGCTGAGCACAATTTCAAAAAACTGGATGACCACCTCAGAGCTATGCCAATTAAATCCATTAAGGAGTAAAGCTCTGAGCCGGGCTGGGTGGCTCAGCCTGTAATCCCGTGTCTTTGGGAGGCTGAGGTGAGTGGATTGCCTGAGCCCATGGGTTCGAGACCCGCCTGGGCAGGAGACCTCATTTCTACAATAAATCAAAAAATCAGTCGGGCGTGGTAGCACATGCCTGTAATTCTGGCCACTCGGAAGGCTGAGGTGGAAGGATCACCAGAGCCCAGTAGGTCAAGGCTGCAGTGGCCGGGAGCGGCCACGGCACTCCAGTCTGAGCGACAGAGTGAGACTCCAACTCAAAAATAAATAAATAAATAAATAAATAAATGAGTAAAGCTCTGAAGTGGTGACTCACCAGAGTACCTTGCAGCTGACAGATGATAGGCAGGACATGTTAGTGATAAAGTAGTTACAGCCTAATTCACAAAAGTTACCAATTGTTTCTCTTTCTAGAAAGAAGCAAGAAGTTAAGAAATTCCTTGAATTAGTGCCTGGTGTGTCAGATGGGAGTGCAGAGAGGGCTGTTAGAGCAGTGTCAGAAGGACCCTGGTGGGTCAGACGGGTTGGACATCATTAGTAATCATGATTGGCTTCTAGATACTGGTAGCAAGATGACTTCTGATTTGTAATCTTAGGTAAATTATAGATAAATGAAAAAGGCCAGTAATCATACACTAAGATTAATAAACAGCACTTCAAAATTAACCGCATAAGGGCTGTGCTTGCAGCAAGGTTTCACAAGACAAGGCACCCAGATTTTTTCTTCCCATGCCTGGCTTGCAGAGCAGCTCTCCTAGCCATTTCATAAACCTCCCTCACTCCATCTTTGGTCTTTGCTGAACACTCCATGTACCCAAAAGCGTCAATCTTGTTTGCCATATCTCTGCCTTCTTCAAGTTTTACCGGCTCCTGCTTCATCTTGGCTAGCTCCCGCCTTGTGTGCTCATCATTCCGAAGATCCTTCTTGTTCCCAACCAGGATGATGGGCACGTTGGGACAGAAATTCTTGACTTCGCGAGTCCATTTTTCTGGGATGTTTTCTAAACTCTTAGAGCTGTCGATGGAGAAACATCAATATAACATCGGTATCTGGGTAGGAGAGCGGCCTCAGACGATCATAATCTTCCTGCCCAGCTGTGTCCCACAAGGCCAACTCTACCCGTTTTCCATCCACTTCAATATCTGCCATATAGTTCCCAAACACTGTAGGCACATATACCTCTGGGAACTGGTCCTTGCTGAAGACTATGAGCAAGCATGTCTTGCTACAGGCTCCATCACCAACAATCACCAGTCTTTTCCGGTAGCAGCCATTGCTTACAGATGCACGGCCTCTGTGCCAGAAGTTGTCAAAGTACCTTGAACTGCTCAGAGGAAAGGCTCAAGCGACGACTTTGAGTCTAGCCTCTTTTCGCCGAAGACCCCTGTTCGCGAGTCGCAAGCTCGGAGATGAAGACTGGTAAACTGAAGACGAGACAGGGGACTAACGAAAGAACCGCCGGAGGACAGCGGGCGGCGGGCGGGGAGCGCGAGCGAGCGGGCGGCGGCGGCAGCTTTTTTATTTTAGACATTCTACATTAGTAGTGCCTCGTGTTTTTAATTAGCCTTTATTTAATGCTCAGTCAGAATAAACATCTACTTATATTCTTTTTAGTCTATTATTCAGCCTAATTTTTTTTTTGATTGACCAACTGCTTGATTGTTAAGCATGGATGCAACGCTGTTCGGCAGATGACTAGAATTTAATCACGGTATGAAACTGATACTTTGTATCTGCTAAACCAAGCAACCTCCCATTTTTTTCTATCTCTTCAGCTCTCGCAAATACTACTCTACCCTGTCTCTGTGACTATTCTAGATAATTCACATAATTTGATCACTCAGAATTTGTTATTCTGTAATTAGTTTATCTCATCACCATGTTCAACCTTTTTTTGAGAGGTTTTTAAAAGTTTCTTTGCCCATTTCTTAATTGAACATTTCTCTTTTTGTATCAATATATCCCTTTTTGTATTTCATATGTTATAAATATCTTATCTCATTAATTTCAGATGTTTCTACACTTAATCCAATTTATCTACAGCTTTATTTTTATTTAGTGATTTTTGAAGTCTGACTACTGCATATTCCAAGAAATATTTGTATGCTGTCAAGAAGATAATTCCTATGCTAACAGCTTGAATACTCTACTTTTCACTTTTTCAACAGCATTTCCCCTGAAACTGGCTTTCAAAATAGTGTAAAGAGAGCAAGTTTTATTTTTTCTCTGTGTATGTAATCAATTTACCCAACAACAAATACAAAAATGATTGTCCTTTCACCACTGCTCTGAGTATCTTTTATCTATCTAGCTATCTATCTCTCATCTCTCTATCTCTTATCTACCTGTTTCACACATGTGATTTCATTTCACTAGTTTATTTTTTACACTAGTTCTATGACTATGCCATATAATCATAATTTCTGTTGATTTATAAGATTTTATATTATTTACACTATTTCCACAAGATTACTTGATTTTATTTTTCCTTGTAAATTTTAAAATGCCTCTTTAGTTTCCATGAAAGAAAAACTGCTGGCATTTTATTGAATCTTTAAATAAATTTAGAGTGAATTTATATCCTTATGCTACCATCTTTACAAATATTGACATGGTATAACACTTTGTTTATTAAAGTCTTCTTCAGTTTTTAAAAAATAATATTCTACAGCAATCTATGTAAAGGTTTTCACATTCTATCTTAGATTTATTTCTAAGTTTTCATTTATTTATTTCTAATGTTTTCTCTTAGTGTAAAAACTATTTTTAAAATCATCATTTACTAATGAGTTACATAGTATACAAATCGCTTTTCATATACTAATTTTGTATCCAGTAAAATTATTATAGTAAGTTATTAATTCTAATGGTTTACCCACAAATTTGTTTGAATTGTTTACATAGACACTCTGGTTGCCTGCTTATTATGACAGTTATAGCTCTTTATTTCCTGCCTTTTTTACTTATTTTGACTGTACTGTCAACAATCTTCTGTAAAATGTAAAATAGAAAGATAATAGCAGATAGCTTTCTTCATTCAATAATCATTCAAGGGAAATGTATTCATAGTTTACTTTTAAACATAAAGTTTACTATCATTTAAAAAAAAGTTTTATCATATTAAAGAAGGTTCTTATATTTCCAATTTGGTAGTGCTTTTTATTCCAAATAAGAGTTTATCATAATGCTGTTCAAAATATGTTGAGATAGTTGAATATATTATCTCTTTTATTCTGTTAATGTGATTAATTACTTTGATTGATTTTTAAATGTAAATCAACCACAGCTTTTAAAAAAAGTAGTACTAACAAAAATTGGTACTAAATTTCAAAAAAATTGATAGTATTAAATTACTCATTTTTCAGTGTTAAGCAGATATACTTAGTTACACTACTGTCATTAAATATCAATAGTATTAGTTAAATTGACACATAAGCTTATATTCTAAAGCAAGAATTATGAATATCTTTTTAAATATAATTCAGAATAAAAAATGAGTGCCAAAAAAATTATACACATTTTAAGAGATGCTATCTATGCATTACTTTTCAAAGTCAAATTGAATTACAGTAGCAATATGTGAATGATATTTGCTCAAATGATGGCATTAATAAAATGAATGCTAGAGTCACCATGTGACAGGCAGGAGAGTCTAATAAAATGACTGAAGCATGGCTGTCATTAGAGGAGCAGAAGTCATTTTGAAGTGATATTTGAAATTCAAGAACATTGTGGAAGTACAATAATGGAGGCTGAAAGTGCAAAAGAATCTTCAACAAATCCAACAATTGCACGCTTCATGATAAGTTTGAGCCACATGGTCCTGTGTGTGATGTGCACAAGGGAAGACCCAGGAACCTTGCACAGCAACAAGCCCTGCAGTAGTTCATTGTACTCAGAAGTGTCTGAACCCTGATGGTAACCACTTTGAGTACCTCTTGTAATTGCAGAAGTCAAACTTGACTTGTATTCATCTTCCATTATTGGTATATATTTTTTTCAGTTTTAATACAGTTTTTTTCTTTTCTTAAAATATGTACACATTTTTTGGCACCCTCTGTGCATATTAGAAGAATGTCTGTCCTCTTCTTGACTCCATAGGCACTGCTCATAGACTGCACCATTTTAAATTTAGGCATTGAGATAACTTACGTGTAAGTGACTTACTAAATACTAGGGTTACTTTGGAATGGGAAATTAATGACTGATCAGATGCTAGGGATGAGGAGAAACCTATTTCCTGGGTTTCTGCCTTCAGCAGCCATGAGGAGTGTGAAGACATAGACTGTGCAATCAGGAAGAAGGGGAAGAAAGATAATGAATTCTAGCAATTTGAGTCATTGAAAAAGTATTTTGAGCCAGGCACTCTTGCTCATGCCTGAAATCCCAACACTTTAGGAGACTGAAAGAGGAGGATGGCTTGAGGCCAGGAGTTTAGATCAGCCTGAGCAACATAGCAAGATCTCATCTCAATAAATTTTTGCTAGGCATGGTGCAGTGTACCTGTATTTCTAGATTCTCAGGAAATTGAGGTGACAGGATCACTTGAGTCCAGTAGTTAGAAGCAACAGTGAGCTATGATGGCACCACTGCACTCCAACCTGAGGACAAAGAACGATCCTGTCTCTAAAAATAAATCAGTAAGTAAATAAATAAATAAAAGTTTTTAAAAGTTCATTTGATAGTAGACATGTAAATAGTTTGTTTTTTTTTTTTTTTTTTTTGACTTGAGTCTCACTCCATCGCCCAGGCTGGAATGCAGTGGCATGCTCATGGAGATAAATTTTTACTGTTTTATATTTATATTTCCCATTATTTTTAGATTCTATAATAAGCCTATATTATTTTTATAACTAAAAAATGACAAAATATGTCATTATTAGATCACTTGAGAATATCTATGTCTGATGGTGTTTGTAAAGGCCAAATCTGATAATAAGAAACTATTTAATTGTTTTAGCCTATTTGGCATTTAATCAGAAAAACTATAAAGAAAATAATATGAAATAATTATAAGTTCTCAATTACCTAAGAAACATTAAAGTTTTAGAAGTAATTACTTAAAGTTCTTTAAATTCTGTACATTTCTTTTTTGAGTACCATATAGACTGTTGATATTTTATTGAGAAGATTTCTCTTTTCTAAAACTTATTATATTTTCAAATCCATCTAAACTGACAGTGATTCAAAAGATGGGTAAACCCCATTTCCATGATATAAGAAAAATTGTATTCCAATATTGAGCAATTATAATTTTCCTAAAGTGAATTAAATAGAACTCTAATTTCGGATCCCCTGAGGTATTTCCTAGTTCCAAAGTTTAATACACTAGGGATAGAATTTCAGCTACATTGTAGTATTGTTCTCCTTGACAGAAACAAAAATATTCCTATTTCCTGAGCTAATGAGACATACTGTTATAAAACATTTTTAAGAAATGCACATTCTATTTAAGAAAATATTATAAATAATCATGGAAAACTATTTTATTTTAAATATAAATTGATAATTTTGAAATAATTAAAATATCAAAAATACTTTAACTATATTGTGTACACTGTAATTTTTTGCCTAGTCAGAGCTTACTTCTAGACCTTGGGGTTGCCAGAATAATGACAAGTAATTTACTATAATTGAAAAAGAGTGCTGAGCTGAGGACCTTTTATAGAACACCATGTAACATGAACTGACCACATTTTGTGATTTGGGCAATATAATTTTATCTTTAGTTTGGAATACTATAAAACCTAAATCATGGAATTGAATTTGGGGAAAAGAAAAATGTGATGGTTGAGATGGTAGGCTTGGAAGTAATGATGTCTGGATTTCAATTTTTGTTTTTTGTTTTTACTTTTTATCAGTTGTATGACCTGGGGCAAATATTTAATATATGTCTCTCTCAATGTTATCATTTGTAAACAATTAGTCTAAGATACATGCTTAAAACTTTTTCTGGCTCAGAATGGTTCCCTCAATTAAAATTCATGTTGATTGAGCAGATAAATGAAATATAGTCTAACTTCTGGCTATGTACTTAATCTTATTACCTAAAATGAAGAAAATACTATGAGAGAAGCTTCCAGAAAACAGCTTTCCTCAAATATCTTTTCTGGTATAATGTAAATTTAAATGTCCCTATTAAAACACTCAAGATTTATAAATTTTATGAGGATGGCATTATATATTAATCATTTCACATAGATTTTGCTTTATAAAAGATTTTTGACATAAGTTGTGTTTAGGTTGAAGTGCTTATGTGCGTGCTATTTCAGATTACAATAGTGAAAGGATGTTGGGTGACAAATTAGTTAAAACATTGAAAAAGATCTTCAACACCTGTAATAATATTGAAATTTAGAAGCAGAAAAATTAAATTTCTGTTCATGCATGCCGAGGAATGTATAACATATGACTAGAATCCATGTCAATACTAATATTTTAGTTTACATTACATTTATTGACTAAACCTAATGCCAATGTCATAGAGTTGTTATTTTTAGTAGTAAATACTTC